TGAACGACCGCTCTGTCCTTCTCTTGAACGACCGCTCTGTCCTTCTCTTGAACGACCGCTCTGTCCTTCTCTTGAACGACCTCTCTGTCCTTCTCTTGAACGACCGCTCTGTCCTTCTCTTGAACGACTGCTCTGTCCTTCTCTTGAACGACTACTCTGTCCTTCTCTTGAACGACTGCTCTGTCCTTCTCTTGAACGACTACTCTGTCCTTCTCTTGAACGACTACTCTGTCCTTCTCTTGAACGACCGCTCTGTCCTTCTCTTGAACGACTACTCTGTCCTTCTCTTGAACGACTGCTCTGTCCTTCTCTTGAACGACCGCTCTGTCCTTCTCTTGAACGACCGCTCTGTCCTTCTCTTGAACGACCGCTCTGTCCTTCTCTTGAACGACCGCTCTGTCCTTCTCTTGAACGACTAATCTGTCCTTCTCTTGAACGACTACTCTGTCCTTCTCTTGAACGACCGCTCTGTCCTTCTCTTGAACGACCGCTCTGTCCTTCTCTTGAACGACTGCTCTGTCCTTCTCTTGAACGACCGCTCTGTCCTTCTCTTGAACGACTGCTCTGTCCTTCTCTTGAACGACCGCTCTGTCCTTCTCTTGAACGACTACTCTGTCCTTCTCTTGAACGACCGCTCTGTCCTTCTCTTGAACGACTGCTCTGTCCTTCTCTTGAACGACTGCTCTGTCCTTCTCTTGAACGACCGCTCTGTCCTTCTCTTGAACGACTCTCTGTCCTTCTCTTGAACGACTGCTCTGTCCTTCTCTTGAACGACCGCTCTGTCCTTCTCTTGAACGACCGCTCTGTCCTTCTCTTGAACGACCGCTCTGTCCTTCTCTTGAACGACCGCTCTGTCTTTTAAATCCCTTCTCTTGAACGACCGCTCTGTCCTTCTCTTGAACGACCGCTCTGTCCTTCTCTTGAACGACCGCTCTATCTATGAACGATTGTCCTATCCTTCACATTCTTCCTGTAAGAAAGCTTCGTCCTCGTCTTCTCTGGACGACACCATTCTCTCCTTCCTCACACCTTCTTCACTGACCATAAAACTATTTAAGATAATCAACACCTCCATCAATAGACCAAGAAACAAAACAACATCTGTGTGTATAACTCAATTGAGAATCAAATTCAATAAACACCAAGTTTTATTTTGGTCCGATGCCACAACTTTTTACAATATATTCGTGACATCGTCCAGCCGAAAAAGTTAAAGACTTAAAAAAATCACAGAAAAGTCATTAATCTCTGATAGGTCATTACGTCATTTATTAGGTCCATTCATTGTGTCATTCATTTCGTCATTAATAACAGGGCGGGGTAATAACAGGAGGAAAATATTTTTTGATGGGTGAGTGAACGCCAGCAGCAACACAACATACCAGGAAGATCAAACTGTGATAATATACATGGATGTTGGAGGTGGGTGAAAGGAACTGTCTCACAATGTTAGAACTTAGCAAGTTTTATAATGACTGAGAGGTCAGTTAAACTAAGACACAGTTATAATGTTTGACTGCCGGAAATAGTTATAAATCTTTCTGACGTCTGTTAGGAGTTCCAAGAGTTAGTTATAAGAGCTTCTCTGTGGCCTAAGTAACACAAACCTTCACTTTGACTGAAAGGTCACAAAAATCTCATTGTGAGCAAAGAAACGCGAAAGCATTTGTGGGAACTCAAACTTTTTAGAGGTATGTGACTATTAGTTAACATAGCTTCAATATAATCTAGCGTAATTCTGTAGATACTACTGTAGCAGTATTAAGGTAACATACAGTGTTATCATTCTCATCTTCATTATTATTGTTGTAATAGTCTAATTCTCTGAATAATATTAATTACCACCGCCACTACCACCACTCCACACACCACCACCACCCCACATACCACCACCACCACCCCACACACAACCACCACCCCACAACCACCACTACCACCACACACACCACCACCTTCATGCCACCAGCACTATAAGGATCAGCCTACACTAAGCACCGTGTTCTGGCAGGGGCTGGAAGGAACTCTACGAGTCTGTGGACGTAGATGGTAACGAGGTGATCATTCTCAACTCCATCGGTGGTCAGAACCAGACTTACTACAGTTACGAGTGTATCTCCCCCTGCACTGCGTGCAAAGGTCAGTCCTACCGCCCCATGAACTTCTCTGTATCCCTTTCCCTATTCAAATGGGTGCCATAGAGCTCTTGAAGGGCTCTTGATTTAAGGAACTGAAGATGCTCTCATTCCAGCCTGAAAGAGCGAGTTACAACCTCTGGGTCAAGATTTCATCACTTCCTGCACTAAATGACATTCACGCCTTGACCACTGTGTAAATACAGTAACTTCTAGCCCCTAGCCTTCAAAAAGGAGTCTCAGCCCCCAGCGTCTAGCCCCAAGAGGAAATTGCTTCCCTGGCAGTACAAAATAAAAGTTAAACTTAAAGTTACATCCTTTAAGCCTTGCAATAGTTAACGCATAATCATGTTAACGTAGCACAAGGCAATTGGAAAGCCGCTGATTTTAACCGGTCATAGTTTTACAATAATTCTGTAGATTTCCGTTGTTGTTGAGGTTAATTTGTATTTGGTCAGGTGTGATGGGCTTCTCCATGTGTAAGATGCGTTATACCTACGTTAAGATGTACTACCAGCTCAAGTACGGCCGGAGGAGCAGTGAACCCAAGTGGGACTTTGTGGAGGTCCCGTCACACTGTGCTTGTGAACTCTTGCCTGAGGATGCAATTGATGCGGAGTGTCCGCAGAGCAGGTGAGACACACAGAGTAAAGGTCTTAAGAGGCAGGTAATTTCCCCGTCTTCTAATAACATGTTCATTTTCCCACTATAATCTACTTTTTATATAATTACTATCGCATTTGTTTTGTCTGTTTCGTGAGGTGAAGTCCAGGATCTTTCCTTAATCATGGTATAACTTGACAAATCTTTGATGACATTTGTGTTGTTAAGGTCTGAGCTGTGGTGAGCTGTGTTCACAGCTCTGCAACACAATTGTCCTCAAAGATTTGTTAAGTTATACCATGAATTAAGGAAAGATTCTGGACTTCACTTTACGAAACAGATAAAGAAAATGCGATAGTAATTATGGACAAGGTAGATTATAGTGGAAAAATAAACATGTTAGATGACGGGGGGAACTTACGTGCCTTAAACTCCACAGTGTGCCTATCTACTAAAAACTATCTACGTTCATCTAAATTAAAACCTGTCGTGTAATATCTAAGTGTGTGTGTGTGAGAGAGAGAGAGAGAGAGAGAGAGAGAGGAGAGAGAGAGAGAGAGAGAATGATGACCCCAGAACTGACCTTTCTTCTGTCACTCTCTTTCCCTGCAGACAGTGAGTTACTTGGTCAAGAACGACAATAACACAGCATCAGCAAGACTTCTAAATAATCCCTCCCTTTCCCCCCTTCCCCCTCCTTCCCCTCACCCTCCCCACCTCCTCCCTACCTCCTCCTCCTCCTCCTCTTCCTCCTCCTCCTCCTCCCTCTTCCTCTTCCTCCCCTTCTTCCTCCTCTACCTGCCCTTCCCTGCCTTGCATGCCAATCCTCCACCATTCCTTGCCTCGTTATCTTATCATCCTTCCCTGCAGGCTGTCACCCCGTCAAGGATAGTCAACCAGGCTGTCACCACGTCAAGGATAGTCAACCATGCTGTCACCACGTCAAGGATAGTCAACCAGGCTGTCATCACGTCAAGGATAGTCAAACAGGCTGTCACCCCGTCAAGGATAGTCAAACAGGTTGTCACCCCGTCAAGGATAGTCAACCAGGCTGTCACCCCGTCAAGGATAGTCAACCAGGCTGTCACCCCGTCAAGGATAGTCAACCAGGCTGTCACCACGTCAAGGATAGTCAACCAGGCTGTCACCCCGTCAAGGATAGTCAAGCAGGCTGTCACCACGTCAAGGATAGTCAAGCAGGCTGTCACCACGTCAAGGATAGTCAAGCAGGCTGTTATCCCATCAAGGATAGTCAAACAAGCTGTCATCCCGTCAAGGACAGTCAAGCAGGCTGTTATCCCGAGGTGGTAATGCTATGACCAAGCTACAGTGGGTAGTGAAGATGATCATGGTGGGTAGTGAAGATGATCAAGCTTCAGTATGTAGTGAAAATGATCATGGTGGGTAGTGAAGATGACCAAGCTTCGGTATTAGTGAAAATGATCATGGTGGGTAGTGAAGATGACCAAGCTTTGGTAGGTAGTGAAAATGATCATGGTGGGTAGTGAAGATGACCAAGCTTTGGTAGGTAGTGAAAATGATCATGGCGGATAGTGAAGACGACCAAGCTTTGGTTGGCAGTGAAGATGACCAAGCTATGGTGAGTAGTGAATATGATCATGGTGGATAGTGAATATGATCATGGTAGGTAGTGAACATGACCCAGCTATGGTGCGTAGTAAAGGTGATCATGGTGAGGTAGTGAAGATGATCATGGTGGGTAGTGAAGGTGATCATGGTGGGTAGTGAAGGTGATCATGGTGGGTAGTGAAGATGATCATTGTGGGCAGTGAAGGTGATCATGGTGGGTAGTGAAGGTGATCATGGTGGGTAGTGAAGATGATCATTGGGGGTAGTGAAGGTGATCATGGTGGGTAGTGAAGGTGATCATGGTGGGTAGTGAAGATAATCAAGGTGGGGAGTGAAGATGATCATCGTGGGTAGTGAAGGTGGTCATGGTAGGTAGTGAAGGTGATCATGGTGCGTAATGAAGGTGATCATGGTGGGTAGTGAAGATGATCATGGTGGGTAGTGAACATGACCCAGCTATGGTGGGTAGTAAAGGTGATCATGGTGAAGTAGTGAAGATGATCATGGTGGGTAGTGAATGTGATCATGGTGGGTAGTGAAGATGATCATGGTGGGTAGTGAACATGACCAAACTATGGTGGGTAGTGAAGGTGATCATGGTGGGTAGTGAAGGTGATCATGGTGGGTAGTGAAGGTGATCATGGTGGGTAGTGAAGGTGATCATGGTAAGTAGTG